ATGGGGCACCCAATTGTGCACTTGCTTGTGTCACCTATTTGTCGTGTCAGGGCAACCAGTCAGTTATATTACATTTCTAACAGAACAAAGCAAACAGACAGAAAAATACACATTTTGTGAGTTTGGTAGTTGGTTAAATGTCCTTTGACCAGTATCTGGCCACTTGGAGTGCTTCCGGTGTTGCTGCAAGAAGGTCCTCCATTGTGCATGTGGCAGGGCTCAGGTTGCATTGCAGCAGGTGGTCAGTGGTTTGCTCCTCTCCACACTCGCATATCGAGGATTCCACTTTGTAGCCCCATTTCTGAAGGTTGGCTCTGCATCTCGTGGTGCCAGAGCGCAGTCTGTTCAGCGCCTTCCAAGTCGCCCAGTCCTCTGTGTGCCCAGGGGGGAGTCTCTCATTTGGTATCAGCCATTGGTTGAGGTTCTGGGTTTGAGCCTGCCACTTTTGGACTCTTGCTTGCTGAGGTGTTCCAGCGAGTGTCTCTGTAGATCTTAGAAAACTATGTCTGATTTAAGTCGTTGACGTGCTGGCTGATACCCAAACAGGGGATGAGCTGGAGATGTCTCTGCCTTGGTCCTTTCACTATTGGCTGCTACTTCCCGGCGGATGTCAGGTGGTGCAATACCGGCTAAATTAAGGAGGGCTGCCTTTCAGAGGAGACAACATTGCCATGGCTCTCCTATCTCAGCTCTCAAGTTCATGATTCAAACATTCTTAAGTTCTCTGGTTCATGCCTTTGCTTCCTGGAAGGGTTTACCTTGGAAAAGTTCTTGCTTTCTGGTTTATAGATTTACAGAATGGGGACAATGCCTGGCTCGAGAGCAGTACGTGTGAAAAAGATCTTGGAGTCCTCGTGGACAAGAAGTTAAACATGAGCCAGGAATGTGATGTGGCGGCAAAAAAAGCCAATGGGATTTTGGCCTGCATCAATAGGAGCATAGTGTGTAGATCCAGGGAAGTCATGCTACCTGTGCTCTATTCTGCCTTGGTTAGACCACACCTGGAATATTGTGTCCAATTCTGGGCACCACAATTGAAGGGAGATATTGACAAGCTGGAATGTGTCCAGAGGAGGGCGACTAAAATGATCAAGGGTCTGGAGAACAAGCCCTATGAGGAGCGGCTTAAGGAGCTGGGCATGTTTAGCCTGAAGAAGAGAAGGCTGAGAGGGGATATGATAGCCATGTATAAATATGTGAGAGGAAGCCACAGGGAGTAGGGAGCAAGCTTGTTTTCTGCCACCCTGGAGACTAGGATGCGGAACAATCGCTTCAAACTACAAGAAAGGAGATTCCATCTGAAAATGAGAAAGAACTTCCTGACTGTGAGAGTCGTTCAGCAGTGGAACTCTCTGCCCCGGAGTGTGGTGGAGGCTCCTTCTTTGGAAGCTTTTAAACAGAGGCTGGATGGCCATCTGTCAGGGGTGATTTGAATGCAATATTCCTGCTTCTTGGCAGAATGGGGTTGGACTGGATGGCCCATGAGGTCTCTTCCAACTCTTTGATTCTATGATTCTATGATTCGTTGATTGAATTTCTTCTGTGGATTTTGGTTTCTAGATAGAAATACTAGACTCCAATGTAGTGCTGGGTGAAAAAGTGTTATCAGTGCTAAAGTGAAACCATATCTCTGTTTTCCTGTTATTCCCTCCACCCATGTCAGCCATCATTGAAACAACCCTATTTATGATATAGGAAGAGGGGAGGCAGGTATAACAAGTAAAAATGGGAGAAATGATTTTCCTCCTTCAACTCCCCCTCCCCTCAGGAAAATCCTTGTCTATCTAGCGCCCCCTTGTGGCCTCCGCCTGAAGGATGGAACAATACCCAAATTACTTTCACAGCTTCCCAGTCATGGAAAAACCTGGGAATGTGTCATATTTTCCCACATCTCATGGATGAAATCTGGGAGACATGAAAGGTCGGAAATATGTGGCCATGCCAAAAAAAGAAAAGGCGACAGGATGAAGAAGGAGAGCAAAAAAATCATGTTGCAAAAGTCATGTTCGGGGGTTGAGAAGGGTGGAGTACAACTGTTGTAAATAAATAAATAAGGAAGTGTTGTGGCAGCATTTCTCAACCTGGGGGTCTGGACCCCTGGGGGGGGATTGCCAGGGGTGTCATAGGGGTCCCCAAAGACCAACAGAAAAGTTTGTCCCAATTCTTTTGTTGGTGGGGTTCACATGCTCTTTGATTGTAGGTGAACTATAAATCCCAGCAGCTACAACTCACAAATGTCAAGGTCTATTTTCCCCAAACTCCACCAGTGTTCACATTTGGGGATATTGAGTATTTGTGTCAAGGTTGGTCCAGATCCATAATTGTTTGAATCCACAGAGCTCTCTGGATATAGGTGAACTACAACTCCAAAACTCAAGGTCAATACCCACCAAACCCTTCCAGTATTTTCTGTTGGACATGGGAGCTCTGTGTACCAAGTTTGGTTCAGTTCCATCATTGGTGGAGTTTAGAATGCTCTTTGATTGTAGGTGAACTATAAATCCCAGCAACAACATCTCCCAAATGACAAAATCAGCCACTCCCCATTGACACCAGTATTCAAATTTGGGCGTATCGAGGATTTTTGCCAAATTTGGTCCAGTGAATGAAAATATCAGAATTGTACATTACGATTCATAACAGTAGCAAATTACAGTTATGAAGTAGCAACAAAAATAATGTTATGGTTGGGGGTCACTCACCACAACATGAGGAACTGGATTAAGGGGTCGTGACATTAGGAAGGTTGAGAAACACTGTGTTATGGAGTCTTGGTCTTTCTAGTTTGGTGAGGCAAAGCGGGTTAAAGCGGTGAGCTGCTGAACTTGCTGATTGAAAGGTCGCAGGGTGAGCTCCCGCTGTCAGCCCCAGCTTCTGCCAACCTAGCAGTTCGAAAATATGCGAAACCTAGCAGTTCGAAAACATGTATGTCAGGAGCGACTATCTGTGCATAATGGGTACCCAGGATGAGAGAACTGTGAGATGTTGGTTGCGGAAACAGAGTGGCGACTTCTTCCATGACGGCTTCAGAATTGGCAGAAATGTATCCAATTTGTTTATTTATTTACTTCACTTGTATACCACTCTTCTCAGCCCTCAGGCGACTCAGAGCGGTTAACAACCAATTCAACAGTACAAAACAGATCATTAATCAATTAAAACAGCAATATCAATTAATTAACATCAAAACATCAAAATAACAATCCATCACGTGGTCTCACCAATAGAATCAGCATCCACTCTCATTGTCCATTAATCCATATTCCAATAGTCAATCAATTGAATCATAGAATCATAGAATCAAAGACTTGGAAGAGACCTCATGGGTCATCCAGTCCAACCCCCTGCCAAGAAGCAGGAATATTGCATTCAAATCACCCCTGACAGATGGCCATCCAGCCTCTGTTTAAAAGCTTCCAAAGAAGGAGCCTCCATCACACTCCGGGGCAGAGAGTTCCACTGCTGAACAGCTCTCACAGTCAGGAAGTTCTTCCTCGTGTTCAGATGGAATCTCCTCTCTTGTAGTTTGAAGCCATTGTTCCGCGTCCTAGTCTCCAAGGAAGCAGAAAACAATCTTGCTCCCTCCTCCTCCCTGTGGCTTCCTCTCACATATTTATACATGGCTATCATATCTCCTCTCAGCCTTCTCTTCTTCAGGCTAAACATGCCCAGCTCCTTAAGCCGCGCCTCATAGGGCTTGTTCTCCAGACCCTTGATCATTTTAGTCGCCCTCCTCTGGACACATTCCAGCTTGTCAATATCTCTCTTGAATTGTGGTGCCCAGAATTGGACACAATATTCCAGGTGTGGTCTAACCAAAGCGGAATAGAGGGGTAGCATGACTTTCCTAGATCTAGACAGACACTATGCTCCTATTGATGCAGGCCAAAATCCCATTGGCTTTTTTTGCCGCCACATCACATTGTTGGCTCATGTTTAACTTGTTGTCCACGAGGACTCCAAGATCTTTTTCACACGTACTGCTCTCGAGCCAGGCTTGTCCCCCATTTTGTATCTTTGCATTTCATTCTTCCTGCACTGCTTAGTTGCACTGCTTAGTTGAAAGCCTGTTCGAAGAGCCAGGTCTTCACTCTCTTCCGGAATGCCAGATAGGAGGGGGCCGATCTGATGTCTGTAGGAAGGGCATTCCACAGCCGGAGGGGCCACTACTGAGAAGGCCCTGTCTCTCGTCCCCACCAGCTGTGCTTGTGAGGCCTGCGGGACCGAGAGCAGGGCCTCCCCAGACTATCTTAACGTCCTAACTGGTTCATAGGAGGAGATGCGTTCGGAGAGATAGGTCGGGCCAGAACCGTTTAGGGCTTTAAAGGCTAAAGCCAGCACTTTGAATTGTGCCCGGTAGCAAACTGGCAGCCAGTGGAGCTGGCGCAACAGAGGAGTTGCATGCTCCCTGAGTGCCGCTCCTGTTAGCAACCTGGCTGCGATTGTTGGACCATTTGAAGCTTCCGAGCAGTCTTCACAGGCAACCCCACATAGAGAGCGTTGCAGTAGTCTATACGGGATGTAACTAGAGCATGGAGTACCGTGGCCAAGTCAGACTTCCCAAGGTACGGGCGCAGCTGGCGCACAAGTTTTAGCTGTGCGAATGCTCCCCTGGTGATTATGTGCGAAAGTGAATAGTGGTAGTTAAAGAGCTCGTTCTAAGGATTATTTCTGTGTTTAATTTATTAAAATATTCCCATCCAACCTCAAATAACGAAGGTGGAGGCATTACTTTTCATTCAAATAGTGGAGAGGCACCCTTGGCTGTGGCACACACATATGTACACTCACGCCACAACGCCTAGCTTTCCTCCTTCTCCTCCTCTTTCTTTCTTTCTTTCTTTCTTTCTTTCTTTCTTTCTTTCTTTCTTTCTTTCTCTGTCATCCATGGAAATAACTCCCCCCATCCATCCCGGGTGGTACCTTGGCGAGGAGCTGAGCCATTGGCGTGACAACAAGGGAGGAGGAGGCGCAACTCTCTTTCTCTCGCCCACCAACTGCCCCCTCCTCTCCTCCTCCTCCTCTCTCGCCCATATATTCCCCGCAGCAGGCGAGGCCAGACTTGCCACTCATCCCTGGAGCTGCAGCCTTGAGCTTGGAGGAAGACAAGAAGGAGGAAAAGGAGGACAAGAAGGAGCCGCAATTGCGCACAGAAGCAGGTGAGTCGCATCCTTGCTTCCTTTCTCCTCTCCACCACTGCTAAGCCCCAACAAGCATCTTTAGGAAAGTTGGGATTTTTCTCTAAGGACTGCAGTGTCCACAATCCCCAATCGATGTCGTTTTGGATGGCAGGATAATTTCCCCCTGCAATCACCAGAATCCTGAGTATTCCCTAAGGTGTGTGTCGGGGAGGGACAGTTGGGGATGATGGGTGCTGCAGACCAGAAAAAATTAGAAATACTTTGGGAAGGTTTTTCTGGACTGCTGTTGTTCATTCGTTCAGTCGTCTCCGACTCTTCGTGACCTCATGGACCAGCCCACGTCAGAGCTCCCTGTTGGCCGCCACCACCCCCAGCTCCTTCAAGGTCAGTCCAGTCACTTCAAGGATGCCATCCATCCATCTTGCCCTTGGTCAGCCCCTCTTCCTTTTTCCTTCCACTTTCCCCAGCATAATTGTCTTCTCTTGGCTTTGCTGTCTCCTCATGATGTGGCCAAAGTACTTCAACTCTGTCTCTAGTATCCTTCCCTCCCTTTTCTGGACTGTAGCACCCATAATCCCCAACTGTCCCTCCCCGACACACACCTTTGTTGAAATACAAGGAATGTTTCTTTAAGTTACTGTGAGTTTTCCAGGCTGCCTGGCCATGTTCCAGAAGCATTTTCTCCTGACATTTCTCCCACACCTATGGCAGGCATCTTCAAAGGTTGTGAGGTCTGCTGGAAACAAGGCAAGTGAGGTTTAGATATCTGTGAAATAATGTCCAGCGTGGGAGAGAGAACTCTTGTTTGGGTTGTTGTTCCAGAAGCATTCTCTCCTGACATTTCTCCCACATCTAAGGCAGGCATCCTCTGAGGTTGTGAGGTCTGTTGGAAACTAGGCAAGTGGGTTTTATATATCTGTGGAATAATGTCCAAGGTGGGAGAAAGAACTCTTGTCCAGCAGCATTCCCTCCTGATTTTTCACCCCCATTTTTGGCAGGTATTCTCAGAGGTTGTGAGGTCTGCTGGAAACTAGGCAAGTGACGTTTAGATATCCATGGAATAATGTCCAGCGTGGGAGAGAGAACTCTTGTTTGGATTGTTGTTCCAGAAGCATTCTCTCCTGACATTTCTCTCCTGACATGTTCCAAAAGCATTCTCTCCTAACATTTCCCCCACATCTAAAGCAGGCATCCTCTGAGGTTTTGAGGTCTGTTGGAAACTAGGCAAGTGGGTTTTATATATCTGTGGAATAATGTCCAGGGTGGGAGAAAGAACTCTTGTCCAGCAGCATTCTCTCCTGATGTTTCACCCCCCATCTATGGCAGGCATCATTGAAACATTCACACCTAGCTCCAACAGACAAGAGTTCTTTGTCCCATCCTGGTCATTCCACAGATATATAAACCCATTGTCCTAATTCCAACAGACCTCACTACCTCTGAGGATGCTTGCCATAGATGCAGGCGAAACATCAGGAGAAATGCCTCTAGAACATGGCCCTATAGCCCGAAAAAACCCACAAGAACCTAAACAAGTGGTGTTTAGATATCTGTGGAATAATGTCCAGGTTGGGAGAAAGAACTCTTGTTTGAGTTGTTGTGAGTTTTCAGGGTTGTATGGCCATTTTCCAGAAGTGTTCTCTCCTGACGTTTTGCCCACACCTATGGCAGGCATCCTCAGAGGTTGTGAGGTCTGTTGGAAACTAGGCAAGTAGAGTTTAGATATCTGTGGAATAATGTACAGGGTGGGAAAAGGAATTCTTGTTTGGGTTGTTGTGAGTTTTCTGGGTTGCATGGCCATGTTCCAGAAGCATTCTCTCCTGGCGTTTCACCCACACCTATTGCAGGTATCCTCAGAGGTTGTGAGGTCTGTTGAAAACTAAACAAGTAGTGTTTAGATATCTGTGGAATAATGTTCAGGGTGGGAAAAAGAACTCTTGCCCAACAGCATTCTCTCCTGATGTTTCACCCTCATCTATGGCAAGCATCCTCAGAGGTTGTGAGGTCTGTTGGAAACTAAACAAGAGGTTTAGTTCTCTATGGAATAATGTCCAGGGTGGAAGAAAGAACTCTTGTCTCCTTGAGGCAAGTGTGGATGTTGCAGTTGGCCAGCTTGATTAGCATTGAATAACCTTGCAGCTTCAAAGCCTGGCTGCTTCCTGCCTGGGGGAATCCTTTGTTGGGAGGTGTTTCTTTCTTTGGACTGCAGACCCAGAATCCCTAGCTTCTCCTTTCCTTCCCCGACCCTAACTAGAAAAAAAGCTCTCAATTTCCCAGGCATCTTCAGAAAAGTTTCCTTCTTGGACTGCAGTCCTCAGAATCCCCCAACTCCCTAGAATCATAGAATTATAGAGTTGGAAGAAACCTCGTGGCCCATTCAGTCCAACCCCCTGCCAAGAAGCAGGAAAATCGCATTCAAAGCACCTTAGAGAGAAAATATCCTTCTGGACAACAATTTCTCCAGGAAAACTTTACTTTTCTTGGACTCCCACACCCAGAATCCCCAACTCAAAGAGGATCACAGCTACAATCCTGGGAAATGCTGTAAAAGAGGAATACTTTTAGAATCATAGAATCCTATAGTTGGAAGAGACCTCGTGGGCCATCCAGTCCAACCCCCTGCCAAGAAGCAGGAAAATCGTATTCAAAGCACCCCTGACAGATGGCCATGCAGCCTCTGCTTAAAAGCCTCTACTCTGGAAGTGAGAGGTGAGAGAACTCTTGAGGGTCAGATGCCCAAATCAATCTGTTTTGAGTCTCTTTTTTGGAGAGAAAAAGTGGGATATAAATAAACATTATTATTATTATTACTACTACTACTACTACTATGTGGAGCCCCCGTGGCACAATGGGTTAAACCTTTGTGCCAGCAGGACTGAAGACTGACAAGTTGCAAGTTTGAATCCAGGGAGACCGTGGATGAGCTCCCTCTGTCAGCTCCAGCTCCCCATGCAGGGACATGAGAGAAGCCTCCCACAAGGATGGTAAAACATCAAAACATCCAGGCATTCCCTGAGCAATGTCCTTGCAGGTGGCCAATTCTCTCAGACCAGAAGCAACTTGCAGTTTCTTGAGTCGCTCCTGACATGAAAAAAAAATATTACTATTCCTATTTAATCCTACCAGGTTGCCTCAAAAGCAACAAAAACTGTGGTTCTGTCCAGGTCTCTTCTGAAGTTAGCCCCAAATGCTTGCAGGCTTGCTTCTAAAATAATAATAATAATAATAACAACAACAACAACAACAACTTTGTGCTCCTGTTGTGTGTAGATTATTTAGGATGTATGGTGAAACCAAAGGTGAACTTATCACTTTCCTTGAGATGTTTAGTTAAAGATGGGTTGCTTTTGCCATCCTCAAAGGCTGAGAGAGTGTGACTTCCCCATTGAGTTTCCATGACCCAGAGAGCACATCTACACTTGAGAATGAATGCAGTTTGGCCCCACTTGAACCGCCATGGCTCAATCCTGGGAGATGTAGTTTTCGCTCTGGCAGAGAAGGCTAAAAGTCTTGCCTTCTCTTGCCTTGTTGAACCATATGGTGCTTTGTGAGGCTGCCCTGAGTCCCCCCACCTTGGGGATGAGAAGGGCGGGATATAAATATAGGAAATAAATAAATAAAAATGACAACTCCTATGATTCCGGTGCATTTTTTTTATCATGTCAGAAGCGACTTGAGAATATAAGTTGCTCCTGGTGTGAGACACATTGCCCAGGGGATGCCCGGATGTGTTACCATCCTGTGGGAGGCTACTCTCATGTGCCCACCTGGGAAGCTGGGGCTGACAGACAGGAGCTCACCCCATCTCATGAATTCGAGCCTCCGACCTTCAGGTCTTCAGGTTCAGCCTACACCTATTGCGCTAGAGTGGCTTCACCATGCATGAAGCCCAAGTGGCACCAAACTGCATTGATTCCATAGTATAGATGCACCTTTGGTCTACAAGTTTTGTGGCAAAGTTTTGTCATAGTCTTCCTCTGAAGCTGAGATAGTGTGACTTGCCAAGAATGGGTTTCTGTGACTGAGCATGGATTCGAAATGTTGATACAGAATGGAGTGTTTCATGCACTAGAATCCCAGAAAAGCCCTAAATGTTGGATGTTACAACTATCTCTTTCCTGTAACCCAAGCATGGGCAAACTTTGGCCCTCCAAGTATTTTGGACTTCAACCCCCACAATTCCTAACAGCCTACTGCTGTGGCTCCATGTGATGCAATCGTGGTATTTATACTTTTGCAAGGTCTTCAGCTTTCTCTGCCAAATAGGGCTGGTGCATCACCAAACTATGCACCCCAGGATTCTTTAGCACTGGCCCATGGCAGTTAAAGGGGTGTCAAACTGCATTATTTCTGCAGTTTAGATCATAGAATCATAGAATCACAGAGTTGGAAGAGACCTCATGGGTCATCCAGTCCAACCCTCTGCCAAGAAGCAGGAATATTGCATTCAAAGCACCCCTCACAGATGGCCATCCAGCCTCTGTTTAAAATCTTCCAAAGAAGGAGCCTCCACCACACTCCAGGGCAGAGAGTTCCACTGCTGAACAGCTCTCACAGTCAGGAAGTTCTTCCTCATGTTCAGATGGAATCTCCTTTCTTGTAGTTTGAGGCCATTGTTCCATGTCCTAGTCTCCAGGGAAGCAGAAAACAAGCTTGCTCCCTCTTCCCTGTGACTTCCTCTCACATATTTATACATGGCTATCATGTCTCCTCTTCTCTTCTTCAGACTAAACATCCCCAGCTCTTTAAGCCGCTCCTCATAGGGCTTATTCTCCAGACCTTTGATCATTTTAGTCTCCCACTTCTGGACACATTCCAGCTTGTCAATATCTCTCTTGAATTGTGGTGCCCAGAATTGGACACAATATTCCAGGTGTGGTCTAACCAAGGCAGAATAGAGGGGTAGCATTACTTCCCTGGATCTAGACACTATGCTCCTATTGATGCAGGACAAAATCCCATTGGCCTTTTTTTTTTTTTTAGTTTGGCCTCATGTGCCTATTGCAGTGATGGGGTTA